AAAAAAAAAAAAAAAAAAAAGAACCTTGAGTCATTTATTTTTTTTTATTTTAATGTTTTTATAATTTTTGACAGAGAGAGGAGTACGAGTGGGGGAGGGGTGGGAGGCGGGACAGAGGATCTGTAGAAGGATCCACCAAAGCAGGCTCTGTGCCGACAGCAGAGAGCCCAGCGTGGGGCTTGGACTCACAAATCCTGAGACCATGACCTGAGCCAAAGTGGGACGTTTAACTGACTGAGCCATCCAGGCACCCCCTGAGTCATTTCTTTAAAAACTGAGATTGTGTATTATACATTCTATTTAAACAGGCTGGGAATTGTGTAACACATTTCAGAAAGTTATTCAACATGAACAGTTAATGTTTTAAAGAGCTTTTTTCATTTTTTAGTGACCTGGAAGTCTGTAGGTAGAACCTTTTATTCCCCAACAAAGTCAATTAATGAGGCATATACTATTATAGACACATCTATGCTTAAATAATACAGTTATTACACTGTTGTCTATCTTTTATGTTTTGCCTGGCTAGATTCTTAAATGTCTTGGGGACAGAGATGATAAATTCCATTTTTGTTTAATTTTGCCCTACGTATTACAACACTCTAGAGGCAAGTAAGAAATGTCCGTTAACGTGTCACAGTGACTAATACAAAAAGCCCCTCAAATATATACTACCCAAATTAAATCCAAGGTAAATTTAAATGTCTGTATATTTATATACACATGTTTAATGTGGATTTAATATGTGGGTTTTGCAGCAGAAAGTCATATGACTAACTTAGCATTAAAAGATGGAACAACGTCTTGTCTTTATAATTCAGTTTATGTGGGGCATCTGGGTGGCTCAGTCGGTCAAGCATCTGACTTTGGCTCAGGTCATGATCTCACGGTTTGTGAGTCTGAGCCCCGTGTTGGGCTCTGTGCTGACAGCTCAGAGCCTGGAGCCTGCTTTGGATTCTGTGTCTCCCCTCTCTCTGCCCCTCCCCTGCTCACACTCTGTCTCTCTCTGTCTCAAAAATAAATAAAACATTTTAAAAAATTTATAATTCAATTTATCTGAGCCTCAGTTTCTTCATTAAAAAAATTTTTTTTTATTTTATTTGAGACAGCAAGCAGGGGAGAGGGACAGGGGGAGAGAGAGAGACAATCTTAAGCAGGCTCCACACTCAGCGTGGACCCCAACATGGGTTCGATCCCAAGAGCCTGGGATCATGACCTGAGCCGAAATCAAGAGTTGGACGCTCAACTGACTGAGCCACCCAGGCGCCCCAGTTTCATTTTTGAATTGGTATCATAAAATCACCTGTAGCAGACACACTGAAGGCTGCCCAGCCCAGTCAGCAGCCTTTTCCTCCCATACTTGCAGAGTCCCAATTTTGTTGAGCTGTCCACTCAAACCCCAACAACTAAAGTAGGTCCTGATCAATCATTTCACTCCCGGGAATGGTTTGGGGAGCATGTGACTGAGTCCTGATCACTGAGACCAGTGGGGGTGGGGACGGGGGAGGAATATGGGAAACTTTCTCTTGTTCTTAAAAACAGACACAAGTTAAAACCAGTCTCTTTTTCTATTAGCTTAACTGAGACTGGACACGAGTTTGTAAATAGCCACATTAGCTGTTTCTATTACGTGTAGTATTATCACCTTTAAAAACAGATAATAGGAGTACCTGGGTGGCTCAGTGGGTTAAGCGTGCAACTCTTGATTTTGGCTCAGGTCATGATCTCACAGTTCCTGAGTTCGAGCCCTGCATCAGGCTCTGCACTGACAGTGAGGTGCCTGTGTGGGATTCTCTCTCTCCCTCCCTCTGCCCCTCTCCAGCTCTCTCTCTGTCTCTGTCTCTCTCTCTCTCAAAATAAATAAATAAACATTAAAAAAAACAACTAGAAGATATTTTATAGTCAATGTACATATGGAGGCAGAGTTGGGAATTTCAATTTAGCCTAGCGCACTGCTAATTCTGAATTTAACCACCACACTTAAGTAGATAGAGTTACACATAACTGTCATTCAAGAAACCACTTGAAGGGTATAAAGCACTTTTCCCTAAAATTATGCTTTTTTTAAAAAAGTATTCTAATTTTCACAGCAATCTCAGCAATTACTCGGCAAATATTTCTACTCTCTTTGTGGAGAAAAAGAAAAAAAGAAGAGGAGTGAGTTGCTTGGAGCCACACAGAAATTAATGAATATGATCAATGTTTCCGTAAACTAGGTTTTAGACAAGTGCTCTAGTCAACGTATTATGTTTTCCGTTGGGACAGTCTTCACGCCAGGAAAAAAAAGCATGAGTTCTCATTCCTCTCTTACCTTTAGTTTCACAGATCATCACGTTACTAAACTCGCTTTCTCCCCCTTCGTTGAAGCACTGCATTTTAATATCGTAGGAGGTTTCTGGCTGCAGATGGCCAATCATGTGCCACTGCTTTGAACCTAGAAAGGAAAAGGAAAAGACAAGCTTTACGTATCGCACGACCCAAAGGTAATTTCGAAACGCGGTTGGAACAGCATCCTATCGCCATGGCGTCTGTTTGCGTGATGAAAATGTCCTTCAGCGAAGCACTTCAGTAATGCAGAAAGATAAACAGCATTTCTGTGACATGCCATGAAACAAATGACAAGAGGTACATGGAATTAAAGCTATACCCGTGCACTGGCAGTAATATTTTGTTTCGTTACCAAGAATTAGTAGTAGGCCTTTCATAAAATCCATGTTAATTTTATGCATAAGTTAAGGGAGAAAAACCCCTCTAGTCCTCTGATGGTCTATTGTAACCTAGCAAGTCAATCCAGTCCGTCCACCCTCCAGAAAGCAATACTATAAATGAGATCAGCAAATGGCGCCCAACCCAGAATAAGTGACCATTTATTTACAAGACAGGCCTCAGAGAAACTCTCAGTTCTGCTGGACTGGATGTGACGTGAACAGATGTCTAAGTGAATGTCTGAACAAATGGTTGAGAATAATCAAAAAGCAAAATCTACTAGCGGAAACTCTTGGTTCCTGCTCCACTGTTTCTTTTCTTTTGAGTCAGGGTCTCCAAACCACACAAGTATCTCTAATAGAATGACTTCTGTTATCCATGGCACCCAGCCAACGTTTCATTTAGAAACACTCCCCAAACTAAACCAATTCCCATGCGAACCACTCTCCATTTTTACTTCCACGGACATGTGATGAACTTTAATAAACAGGGACACTTCTGGCAGATTTAATGAACTCTTCCTGCACCTTTAATCCCTCTTAGAACATACCTCTTCAAACTGTTTCCACAGTTCCTTAGAAGCTCAACTATACCACCTACTGATTTGAGAATTAATTGAAGGGGGAGGAAAAACAAAACCAAACCACACAAGCAAGTCAAATCTACTCGGCTGACAGGTCCAACAGCACTGGGATCCTTTCTAATTCAACACAGACAAAAATATTTCAGACCGGAAACACAGCCCCTTTTCCAGGTCACCACTACAAAACCCCTCATTCATAAAGACCCATAGTTTACACAGAAGAGAATCTGCTTGTTTTAGGATCAAGGGACTCTGAAAGGCTCAAGAAGTAAGGAATTCTATGCCCCCTTTGTAAGTATAAAGAGGACCCTAAAATAAACTTGACTCACAATCTTGATTCAAAGACTGGAATAGATCTATTTCTAAGTTCCAGACACTTTCTCAAAGACTTCTATTTTTTCTCTGTCCTTGGGTCTTTCCTAGCTCAGCCCTACACTCACCTAACTATAAACGTTCTCCTGAATAATGACCACACTAGATTGGAAGTTTTCCTTTCAGAGTCCTAGTCAAAACGTAATTACACTGCGCTTCCCATATGTTAACTAATAAGAGAAAAACAGGTAAAAGAACACATATCTTGTTAGAATAATACTCCACTGTTATGGTAATTATTCAAATGGCTAAAATGACAGGAAGCACTAGCAGAGAGAGTTTTCCTGATCACTGATGAGTAAGACAACAAAGTACATTATTAGGTTGAAAGTCAACCAACCAGCATACCCTTTTCTTAAACAGGTCATTTTTTTTTTTTTCTTTTTTTCTCAAAGAATATTTTAGAAAAGATGAAAAGCCAAAGCACAGGCTTAACGATTAGGATGCCTGATACTTTAATTTTTTGGAAACTCAACTTTATAAGACAAAAATATTCACCACAAAAGCACTGGTATGCTGGAAACATTTATGGTTTACTCCAATGTGGAACTTAATTCAGAAGATAGGATAACTTGATGTAATTGCTCTTGGTGTATTCTTTAACACTGTAATCGAGTTTCAGGTTTTTTCCAAAAGCTTAAACAATTCTGAGTCCATATACATAAGTAATCTAAAACTTTGCCTTAAAGAAAACTTTATGGGCAAAGGGTAAATACTTTCGTTCCTTGGTTTGGGAGAACAGGCCAAGAGTTTCCAACTGCCACAAAAAGAATTTCAAATGCATAAACTTGAAAATAAGGAATAAGCAAATTACACAGCACAGTGAAGCCCACTTAAACATCTAACTGCTCCGTCTACGAAGTTTATAAACAAGTTCTCTGTGAACCGTAAGGCAAAACTCACGTCGGCAGACACGACTACTGGATACAAAAGTTAATTTCCCAGTTCCACACATCATATTCACATCACAAAAGCTTGCAAAAATTTCAAAGATTGAACTAGGGAATATATTTTAAAAACTGTTCACTGGTGGATATTTCCAGAGAGTAGAACCAGGGGAGGTTGGGAAAAGAATGGCAAAGAGCGAGACAAAGAGAGATGTTCACTTTGTTTACATTTACCTTGTTTAGAACTATTTCATAGCAAATGTTAATCTCTGTCAAAAGATTTTAGAAATAAAAGTGACAGTGCCACTCTCCTAACCCAGTTAAACTAAAATGATGACCTAACTAGAACTCAAATAGAGAACAGTTACTAATAACTCTTATCATTTCTTCTTTTTGCATAGCTTTTTCAGAAAGTGATATATGCACAGGGAAAAGTACCCATAACGGAACAGCTCGCTGAATGTTCATGAATTGAACATACCCATGGTACCGATACCTAGGTCAAGAAAGAAAATATTACCGGCACCCCAAAAGTACCCCCCATGCTTCTTCTGGTCATATCTCCCTCAAGACAGCTACCGTCTTAACTTCACAGAATAGTCTGGCCACTAACAAGTATCTTACCTCATTCCCCCAGTGCTTCATGTTTAAAGTGGATTTTAGAAACTAATTTGTTTCCTACTTTTCCACATTAAGAGAAATAATCACTCTTTCATTCAAAAAATATTTACTGAGCACCTGCTATGCACCAGGTATTAAAACTCAGATGATAATTTTTTACTATATTACAAAAGTAATCTGCTGGAAAAACATTATTTAAATTACACTATTTAAAGAAAACTTAATTTAGCGTATTTAAGTGAATTTATTATAAGACTACTTACAACGAAATTTATATGCAGCCTTTGACATCAAGAAGTCGTATGAAAACAACCTTGGCCCAGGGCCATTTTTTGACATGATCCATCGTGATGTTAATAGCTCAAAGGATCAGAATCTTGGGAGGGGAAAATAGCCCTTGGAGGAAGGCTTCCTCCCAAAGCAAGAATCGCTTCTAAGAGATCACTGAGAAAGAAGCATCCAGCTTCTACTGAACACCTCCAAAATTAAGGAGTTTCTGAGTTTGTTAAAAAAGCCGTGTTGGAGGTTTCTTCTTTATGCTACTTCCTTTTAGCTGCCCCTCCCCACCGGCTGAGTTCTTCCTCCACATAATAGTCTTTCAGTATTTGAAGGCAGCTGTCACCTCACCACTTGGAGGGGCTGGGGATACGACACTAGAGAAAAGACTCCTTGCCTACAAAGAGGCTAATGTTTAGCGGTGGGGACAAACTAAGTAAATAATTTCATACACACACGCACACATGCACACATACTCCTTACATACCAACTGTGGTGAATTCTATGACATAACCATAAAGGGCACAGTTAGAAATTACACCAAGGGTAACTCACATGAACCGGCAGAGGTTACCTGAGGAAGTAACATTTCGGCCCACAACAGAAAAAACTAAATAAAACACCAGAAGAGGAACACAGTAGGGAGTAGGAACCGCCACGTGTCATAGTACTGAGGCAAGAGAGATCCTGGTGCACACAAGGAAACTCAAAGAGGGCCGGCGTGTCACGGAAGACACAGTGAGAGGGGAGACGTGTGTGAGACTGGAGGAAGGTGCAGGCAGGGGCCAGCCAGGTCACGTGGGGCCTTCAGACCACATGCAAAGTTCTAGATTGTATTTTAAATGCAAGGGAAAGGTAGTTTCAACACCCTTCCCTATCTTGGCTGGTTTTTTGTCTCTATATATTCCAATTCCTCAGCATCTCTCAAAGCGGAGAACATGCTTAAGATGCAATCATTCCAGTAGAGACGTTAATGGAACTGAGACGGAGACATTTTTTTACATATAGCTAGAAGTTGCAAGTGATTTTTATACTCACGTTACTATTCACTTAAATAAAACAGAAAACAAGAATTTTTTTCAGATGAACTACTGACAAGTCAGATCTCCCCCAGGGTTTTTTAACTGTTTCTATAACCAAAATGGAAGATACTATGTATATTACCTTGGAAAGATGGTCTCTCTTTGGGAAAAAAAAATCAAAGTAATAGTGTCTATGACATTTCATATTTTATCTATCTTAACCTGGGATGATGTTTTTCATAATATTTACAAACTTTCTCCGCCCAAAGCTCTTTATGCCAGCTTGCCAGTGGGACTTACCTTCTACAACATCCCTCTTGTAATCACTGTCATTGTCACTATCTGTTGGCCGGTAGTAGATATAAAATCCTTGAATGGGAGTATTATTGTTACTTGATGGAATGTACTAAAAAATAGAAGCAAAGACTTGTCAAAGACAAAAATGAGTGTAACTTTCAACATCCATGATGTGAAATATCTGTGTGGCAATACTTTTCCAGCTTCATTTTGTAAACATCCTTGATGGCTATTTTAAATTTAATTCAAAGGTATTGTGAGCATTTAACTTACTGGAGGGCTGGGCAAAAATAATGTAATATATTTCACCAGGTTCTAAGGCATAAAAGTATGTTTGGTTCAAAATAAATAAATCTTGGGGGTGCCTGGGTGGCTCAGTTGGTCAAACGTCCAACTCTTGATTTCGGCTCAGGTCATGATCTCGTGGTTTGTGAGATCAAGCCCTATGTCGGGCTCTGCACTGACAGCATGGAGCCTGCTTGGGATTCTCCCTCCCTCTCCCTCTCCCTCTCCCCCTCCTTCCCCCTCAAAATAAATAAATAAACACGATAAAAAATCTATCACTCAATCTTGAAATGGCAATTAAGTGAACACTTGGCTGAGAGCTGAGAAGACTGTCCCACTCATCACAGGTGCTTTTAGATAAATATTCTATGCCCTTCAACTTTCCCTCACTTAGAAGTTAAAAACATTTGCTATTCGTAATATCGTGTCATGAGGATATCAAATCAATCATTACCATGGCCAAACTAGACAACCGTCTCATTGGAAAAGCTGTCCCACTTACCGTCCACTTCAGCATGATCTGCGTATCACTGACAGCTTCAGTGTAAGCAATGTGGGGTCCAGTTATTGGACGGTTAGAGAAACGATTGGGGAACCCAGCCACCTGATAAGGACGAGATGCCGAACTCCGAAAACTCTCACCATAATGGTTGATGGCAATAACCCTAAATTTGTATGTTGAACCTTTTGAGGGAGGGAAAAAAAAAAAAAAGGAAAAAACGGAGTTTTTAAAAATCTGCAAACAGACAACCGAGGGTCATATCATTATACGAGATATGACAATTGTGCCTAAGTATCTATCTACAGTCACGAAAACACACTCTGAAGTCTCCACGGTAAACAGATTTCAATCCACTTGCCAGCTTCTGTCAACTGGCAGCGGATGTTCAAGATGTTGTGTTCCCGGGTCCAAGAGCTTATTAGGAGCCACTGGGAGACAAGGCCATGAAAGATTAATGATGTCTGTCATGGTAGGGGCAGGTAGAGAACAGGAAAGAGCGCATTTACTTTTTTTTACCATCACGTTCTAAAATCATAACCATCAAATGCAGTATTGGTTGAAGTATCTGTGTTCAAAACGAGATTCTTTCCCCTTTGAAAGAAACAACTGAAGCGAAGTTTAACACAGTGAATACACTTAGGAAGGGGCGCTGTGTGGGTGACAGCAGATGTCACTTGATTTCACCAATAATGGGATAAGAGCGGACAGATTTAAGCCACAACAGAAGGTATTTATTTGTATTACATATTAAGAACTTAAAAAAAAAAACAAAACAAAAACCTCTAAGGATTGTGAGTTTCTGACGATCTAGATCTAAAGAATAAATTAGACTCCCCCAGCACGTTTCCTGATGGCTCATAAATAACTACAGGGCTTCTGAAGACGGTGTTTTCTGTCTGTAAAATGCTACCCAGCTTCACCCACATTTAAAACCGTCACCTTCTCCCAACTCTACCTGCAGGTTCTGAGGCTCATGTTACCTGTCTAGACAAACACCGACATCTGTCACTAAAGTACATTTAAAAAGGCCATAAACAAAAATGGTCATGGAACACAGATAAAAGCAACCAAAGTGTATTTGTGATGACTGCTTTTTTCCTTGTGTGGTTTAACGTCTCACATACAGCCTTCAAGATGCTGGGGTGGCAGCAGGGAAGTCGGGTGTTCTGCTGAGCAAAGCATGAGTGTTCTCCCATTTCCGTTGAGAGATTCATCATTAGAGCAAACAATTTTTGTCAAACAACCAGCAATTTGCCTCTTAAAATATGTAATTATAGCAAAACACCTTACACACACACACACACACAAAGATGTCACACAGCACTGTTTCTACTGATTAGCAGTTAGAAAGAATCCAAGACCCAGAAGAAAAGAACGTGTTAAGTAAATCACACTACACTTATACAGCAGATACATAGTTATTAAAAACTTGAGTTTTTGAAGAATTTCTAATGATATTGGAAAAGGCATGTGATAGAGAGAAAATGGGATCACAAAACGGTATTTATGGCACGATCCTGGTTTGTATTAAAAAAAAAAAAAAAGGCTACAAAAATACACCAAACTGTAAACAATGCTTATCTCCGGCTGGATGGGTTTCAGGTGACTTATTCTTTTCTTCATAGTTTCTCTTCCGTTTTCACACAACGGGCTTGTATTACTTTAACAATCAGAAGAGTACGAGACCGCTATAAATATGCATCTCAAGTCAGCAGTGGATGGCAAAAAAGGAAATGTTTGAATATCATCACCTGGCTCTAAGCTACGAACTTCCACAGAAAGTTTGGAAGGAGGGATATCTTCAGCTGCCACCAGCCAATCACTAGTCCTCATCCGTTTGTACTCGACCTTGAAGGCAGTGATTGGAGAACCCCCATTGGCCCGAGGAATCCAAGTGACATAGACGGACGTCTCTGATGCCATAGAGATGGTAGGCCGATCAGGTGCTTCTGGAACTAAACACGGAAACATTTATTCCAATAACCCCTGGTGTCAGAGACAAGAATAACTCAAACTAAAAGGGTCATTTTATTAAAGATTCGTCACCAAACTAACTGCCAGAGTTAATAATATTAAGACTATCTTCCTGTTATCTTTTAAAAGCTAAGGGGCAATGAAATGACCAGATACAGGAAATAAAGGAAAAACAAAGTCATCTATAAACTTGATAATTAGCTCTAGAAAATGGAAAGTTAATGGGCATGATAATAGTGACCATGCTACCTTAGATTCATGGCTAAATAGTATATAAGTAATTATCACCTGGTGCTTATAATTTATAGTAAGTTTTCAAAATTAGGTGTTATTTAAATGTTTTTCTTTACCCATCCAAGCTACATAACACACATACAGATTATTAGCTATTACTATCATATCCTATCTTAACATACCTCAAGGCTATAGGAACGCTACTCCAAAAACACAGACTGCAGGCAGTAAAGACAGATAAAATTTGATTAATAAATCAACAGTGATATTAATGGGCAAAGAGAATGCTACGTGGGATGGAAGCAGGAAGACAGGATATGTAGTTAAATAAAGAAAAGGGGGTGGGGTGCCTGGGTGGCTCAGTCGGTTGAGCATCCGACTTCGGCTCAGGTCATGATCTCGTGGTCCGTGAGTTCCAGCCCCACGTCGGGCTCTGTGCTGACAGCTCAGAGCCTGGAGCTGGCTTCACTTTCTGTGTCTCCCTCTCTCTCTGCCCCTCCTCCACTCATGTCCTGTCTCTGCTCTCTCTCTCAAAAACGAATAAACATTAAAAATACTTTTTAAAAAAATCAAGAAAACGCCCCTCAGTAACGAGATGTGCCACCTAGTCATCCACACAAACTTTAGAAAAAGGAGTCAGAGAACGAATGTCTAGCAGTTACAGGTGACACGGCCAAGGGGAGGGGAGGTCCTGGCCCACAACCTAGACAGTCTAGACTCCCGTGGCAGGTAGAAACGTCACGATTAAGTCCACCAGCCATTTAAAGCACGTACCTAACTCTTCTTGCTGACCAAGAAGACCACACACTTGTGGTTGTAACCGTCTTCCCACTTGGTTCCTACCAGGGAAGAATGCCGACAGAGACAATCTGGTCTGTGGGATGGTTTCAGTGCAAATTAGTAAGTCGCCATTCTGGTTTACGCTGATCACCTATGAATTCTGCAAAGGCGAGCTGGGTCTCAAGAGACTGACTGTCGTTTGGCATGCTAACAATCAGGTGTCCAGAGCTGAAGGAGGAGGTCCAGCTCCGGGCCATGGTGATGTTACCTGGGTAAAGTCACTAAGCGAAACCTGTCTGTCTGGCCCGTGCCACATTCCTTAAGCGACACCACTCTGTCTCAACTCGACACCCCTTTAGCCCGAACAAACACATAAGAAAGAACATAATAATGTTGCAGATGGTACTTGTATGGAGAAATTGGTGGCATTTTAAAAGCAAAGCGCTTGATGGATTAAAAAGAGGAAAATACTCAAAGCAGGCAACTTTTGAGTGATACTTACTGTATTCCTTTCAAGTTAGAAAGCAATGGAAACAGAATGAACAGTACTGTTAGTGAATCTCTCTTTTGGTACTAGATAACCAACCACTTCCTTATATTGATGCATAGGAGGTTAAAACTCATCAAAGAACACCAAAGATCAAACAGAAAGAGAAGGTTATTAGGGAAAAGAACCATTACAGGAAAGAATCTTCAATATGTAAAAGAGAGAGCATGTGGCAGTTATGGGATAAAAGAAAGACTGTAGTTGGGAGTTCAAAAATCTGAATTTTGAATAGCAGTTCTGGAGAGCTCAGGCAAACCTGCATGGCCTTCTTGAGTCTCAGTTAACTGATTTGTAAAATATGCTAATCCTTCCCCCAGGGTTATTGCGAAGATTCAAGAGATCACTTCCTACGGCTATCTCTGCCTGGGTGATTCCAAACTCACGACTTCCAGAACTGAACCCTTAAGCTACACGAAACTATCCTTATTACCTGTCTCGGTAAATGGGCCCTGGTTGCCCAAGCCCGAGGCCCCACACCTTTGCCTCTCCTTCAACTTGGACTCAATCTCCTTTGTCTGACAGCTGTGTCCCTCTCCATCCACACTCTCACTATTTTCGTTATTTCTCTAGCCTCATCTTTGGCCATTTCTCCTTTCCCCCTCTTTAAAGTCTTCTATGGTTCTTCACAGCTTTCCAGGAAAAATTATTATTATTATTTTTTTTTTT